TATATATTCTCATCAGTCCATTTTCTCTAAAATAGATCACACTTTAGAATTAGTTAATAAGTTATTTATTTATTTAATTTTATTTATTTATTATATTTATTTTGGGGGGTTTTCTTTTATTTGTAATTGTGTGTACATGAGTGTAGGTGCCCTTGGAGGTCAGAGGCATTGGATTCCCTGGTACTATAGTTACAGTCAGTTGTAATATGCCCGACATGGGAACTGAACTCAGGCCTTTGCCAGATCAGTAAGTACTGGTAACCACTGAGCCATCTTTGCAGCAGTTGTATCAACACTATTGGTTTCCTCAAATAGAGCATTATTGCTAACAGAAATCTTCATGTAAAATAGGGAGCTCAAGTCCAATTCATTTTAAACAGGTCTGAACCTCCTTTTTATTTCCTAGGTATTCATCTCTGTGAAAATCTTCAAATTTCAGTTTAGGGAATATCTATGTGCTCAGTGCTCCATATCTTTAAGTCTTCAAATATTCAGCCTCATGACCTGTACCTTTGAATTTTGTCTTATCAAACACATGCCTTAATGCTGGAATCCCTATATCTGAAAGTAAGCTATGAGTACTCAGCTTGGGAACAGTCCTTTTAACTGTTCTCTTTGGAGGTACAGGAACATACGCTCCACTCCCTGACTCTTCATCAGATTCAGCTTCTGCAGTTTCTCTCTCTGGTGAGGCTGGATGTGGGAAAGGAGGAAAGGTTTCATCTTCCACATGTTCATAATCTGCTAGTTCAACCAAGACATTATCTTCTGGTTATAGCACCTTCTCCTCTGCTACAAACCAACACCTCCACACTCCAGCTGGCACCAACAGCCACCAAGTTTCTCTGTCTACTAGTTCACCACTGTGAGGCAGTTTTTAGGTTGCATTCCATCTGCTATCTCCAGTTTTGAAATAAGGAAGGTCATCTTACTAACTGAACATAGAGTTTAATTCACTTATTGTGTAAACTTCTGTATACTACTTAATATGGTGAAACCAACTAATTCAGGACACAAGAAGATTGTAAATGAAAATTCTAAGTCATTTTTTGGACAGGAAATAGGTGATATTTTGTAGCTCCCTTCCCATATTTTGTCTTGGACATCAATTCATAATCCCACCAATAGTGCCTGACATGTTACCTTAACTCTTTTAGCAGCAAAAGATACTGAAAGATGGTCGGGATGTGGCACCTACCTTTCTATAGGAGAGACTAATTTCTGTTTTAATTTTCCTAACCCAGAACTCCACAGTTCTAGTCCAAATGGAGAAGGCTTCACATGAAAATAATTTTTTTTGAGAAAGGGTCTTGATATATTTCCTAGACTTACCTTAAACTCTGAATTCTCCTGTCTCAGCCTTCCAAATTCTGGGATTATAGTTAAGCATCATCACAGTCATCCACATAATAAGATATTCATGATTGACCTGAAATAAATTATAATAAAAACAACAGAAAACCTGATCACTGAGTACAACCACCAAGTCAAATGCATTTTGTAAGAAAACTATAATCTTATTCATTCACATAAGGATTATTAATAAAAATTATATATCAGTAAGTTTTGGATTCCAATACCTAGAACTTAATCATGAAACATAGTATAATTTAATTTTCCCTGTATGAACAGAAAAATATTGATTAGAAAATATTTGTCTAGATATAGAAGAGCTCCATCATTTGTGTGTAATTTATTGATTATTATGCAGCACATAAAATTTAAATATCTGGGGCCGGACATGGTGGCACATGCCTTTAATCCCAGCACTCGGGAGGCAGAGGCAGGCAGATCTCTGTGAGTTCAAGGCCAGCCTGTTCTACATAGTGAGTTCCTGGACAGCTGGGGCTACAGGGAGACCCTGTCTCAAAAAGACCAAAAAATTTTTTTTTAAATATCTGAAATCTGATATTACAGAGAAATCCCACAGATCAAGTAACTTGAGGAAAATGCTAAAGATGCTTAAAAACTATCTTTGCTTATCAACTGAATATGTGGACTCTTGCTATAATTGCAAAAGCAGTACCTGCTAGATCAGTTTTAACAATTTTTGAAAATGTTTAGTTTTATTTTTTCTGTTTGGGGAGATGAAGTTTTTTTATTTTTTAAAATACTTTTGTTGACACTCTAAAACTTTCATACAAGGTATTTTGATGATATTCAGACCCCATTCCTCATTTTCACCCCACCATAGTAATCCTCTGACTTCATTTTCTCTATTAATATGTTTTAAAGGCCCATGGAGTCTAATTTGTGTTCCCCAAATGCTCTTCAGTATGGGCCCATCCCCTGGAGACTGGTCATCTGGCCAGCATCATAATCTTAAAGAAAACAGACTTTCCATCTCCCAACAGTTATCAATTGCCAGTAGTTCTTCAGCCGGGCGTGGGGCTTCTGGCCCATTTTTCCCACTTCATGCTAATATTTTGGCTGACTCGAGCTTGTGTAGATCTTGCGCATGTGGACAAAATTGCTACTGGTTCATATGTAAAGCTGCCCTTCTGTCTGGGAAACTGTTTCCTTGTAGTTTTTACATCACCTCTTCTCTGACAACTTTCTACCCCCTTTTCCACAATGATCCTTGATACCTGGGGGAAGCGGGTATGTCTTAACTGGTGTCCCATTTAGGGATGAGTACTCCACAGTCTTATTTTCTGCAGGTTGACTAGTTGTGAGTCTCTGTGTTAATTGTCATCAGATGCAAGAAGAAGCTTCTCTGTCAGAATGCATTAGTTTGTAGGCATAACAGTAAGTCATCTGGAGTCAGTTAATACTATGTCCATTGAGCAGAAAAGTAACAGGTTCCCTCCTGTGGGCTATGATCTGTCTAGGCACAGGTTCTTGGCTCTTGGCAATAATTTGATTCTGTATTCTTTTCTATGAACACATGCATATTTTTAATAGAATAGTAATACAGGGCTGGAGAGATGACTAAGCAGTTAAGAACACTTGCTGCTCTCCCAGAGGACCCTGGTTCTATTCCCAGCACCCATGCGGCAGCTAACAACCATCTGTAACTCCAGTTCCAGGGGATCTGACACCCTTCTCTGGCCTTTGTGGGCATTGCAGTACATGGTGCACTAACATACATGCAGGCAAAACATAACATTTTATAGACATAAAATTAAAAAAAATACATTTCATGTAATATATTAGTACTTAAACTTATACATCATATGAGCTGCTTCCCTTATCGTCAGAAATTCCTTTTTGTAATTCTTCCCTCTCCTTGCGCTGGGCATTGAGTCCAAGGCCTATAGCAGGTTAGAAAAGCACTCTCTCACTCCATCACACAGTCAAGGCCCATAATCTTGAATGACCGCTAATTGTAGGTATTTCATCTCTGTTTTGCACAACTGTAGTTTAAGTCTCCATTCTCTTGTTAATGGACATTTAAGTTTATGCATCAGTTTTGTGAGTATTCTCTTCTTTTTAACTTGTGTAGCTGCAAAGCCCTGACAAAGGCTTTGAAGGCAAATCTCTTTATGACAGCTGGAGTGAAAAGAACCCTTCACCTGAGTTCAGTGGCATGCCCAGGTACAAAAATAGCTCAAGCATTCTGTTCAGTAGGGTGGTTGTGTGGATAAAAATGACAAATGAAACTAATGCTTAGATTTATAATAAATATTTTCAGCCTCAGAAATCATTGAATAAACTGTGATTTTCGAAATTGTTTCTCCACAGAATAGTTTTATAGAAGTAACTCTTATCAAAATAAATGTTATTTTTTCTTGGCCAAGGCCATATTTGTAATAGTAAGACAAGAGTTTAATACCTGACCTATAATATACACCTGTTGTTAAAAGTTACTCTGAAATAATTATGCTAATTTTATTTCTAAAAGGATTAGCAAGTTGGGGTCTGGAAATGATTTTGAAGTGTTTTTCCAAAGACTTGGAATTGCTTCTGGCAGAGCACGATACACCAGGAACTGGGTGAGTCTCCATCAGTACATTCTTCACGATGGCTATATTTCAACTAAATAGGTACTTTTTTTTCTCACAGAGTACCTCAGGCATTAGAGGAAGTAAGGAAATTGCAGGCAGAATGAAGATATCTTGGCGGATGGTGCTACACCAAAGGCTGGGCCCTACCCCTGGTCTGCTGGAGTCTGTATCAGTTGGCACCCAGACTCCTTTCTGCAGGCTTGAACTTCATTGCTTTCTCTTAAACATGTTCTGGTTTATTTAGTGGCATGATAGTCACCTTCTCACCACCCAGAATGGATTCAAATAAACAAAACCAAATATTTAGATTTTATTTTTTACTATAGGTCAGATCGTACAAAGTGGTATAACACAGCACAATCATAAAAATAATTTTCTTTTTTAAATTGTTATGATAGATAGTAATATTAATTTTCATAGGTGTTTCAACAATACTTAATTTATAAAACCTCAAGCAGTTCTATTAGACTTTAGCTAAAACTAGCACTGTCTTTTCTAGTCCCACACTCATCCTACCTTGATTTCTGCTCATCCTGTGAAAAGTCTTCAGTCTTTTAAATTTTTTCTGATGTCTACCTCTATGTTTATAAATTATATCTCCCAATGCTACTTCCTCACATTTCAGATTTATGTTTGTAAAGAAATAAATTTTTTATATTTGTTAAAATGTAAGTGAGACCTTATTCAAGATTATTGCAAACTGGGATGTTGTTTCAGGGAAAGAGATTGAACTCAACTCTGAATTCCCATTAATCTTAAACTCTTACAGCCAGATGGGAATTTTCAGACAACTTTGACTATTATTAGGTCTTTTTCCTTAGACTGGCTATTCTCCACAAGCAAGGGACCTCTTGTCATTGTGGTAAGAAGTTATGCATAGCTATGTGGGGATTTTGATGAGAACAGATATAAATATTATCAACATTTGACATATGAGACAGCAATGAAAGGTCAGGTGACTACCAAAAGTTATTGGTAATACATCTTGAAGCCAGATTGAAATCCTTCCATCAATAATAATTCCAGATGCTCAGTCTTTTCCACAGAACACTATATAAAGTTCCATTATATCAACAACAACCACACCAAAACAAACTTGAGAAAAGCTGAAAAGAAATAAATCAGCAATTCAAATCTGGAAAAGTCCTTGATTTCCACATATGCAGTCAGTTTATGCTATGCCTATTTGAGCATCATTTCTCCCTCCTTAGATTCTGGAGTCATTGTTGGATCCGTTACTGCTTGAATTCTCCACTCGTCAGTATACTGCTTGCTGGTGTTATTTTTCCTTAGGATTTTTCAGCAATTAAACAATTTATTGTACTCCTATGCAGTATTGTGTAATATTATTTTACTTGTATCCAACAACTTTCTGACTCTCATTGAATTTTTTTTTCTCTTTTGGTAAACATGTTTATTTTAAACTTATTTTTAACTTTAACAAAAACTTTGAGAATTTCAAACATGCATCTAAGGTGTTTTGATCAAATTCATGCCCACTCCCTCCTCTCTAACATTCCCCTTTCTCAAAGATAACTCTAAAATCTTCTAAGGATTATATACAAGCTCCCAAATACTTTTGACATTTTTGGCCTTTGGAACAGAGTATGTTCATAACAGGTCCAAGGACATTTTGACTTTTAGCCCAGAAACTGGCTACATTTCTTTGGGCTCTTTTTACCCTAACTGCCTAGCCAATTACTACCTCTTATTCTTGTCACACCATTCTCTGAAGGGGTTACCCAAATTATTAGTTGGGAATAGGGATGCAGACCGCTCTGGCTCTTCCATGCTAAACAGGAATGCATGGTGAGGCAATTGGAGTACCCCTTCAGTGTGCCTATCCAAAAGACTCCCAAATTGTATAACTCTTATCTCTAAGGGGAAAAGAAAGTCCTTGAATCATAAATAGGAGATGTGAAGGAGAAGTAAAGACAAGAATAATTATCATTATAAGTTCTAGACAAGGAACTAGAAAAAAGTCAGAACAGGGCAATTTTCGAATGTTCATATGAGAGTCCGTTGGAGTTTCTTCACAAAGGCTTCCAAAAGCATCACTCTATTGGGTTGTTCCTCATTTTTCTTTTGTCTTCCAAGGCTGGACATGTTGGCTGGGAAGAGTGGCTGGATACTCATGTGAGGGTCCAATGACCCTACATGGAACTCCTTTAATGAATGAGCACAACTGTCAACAAGCCCAATTGTGACTATGTTTAGCAATCAGGCTCAGCTGAAATAATGATGATGGTAGTTATTTCATTCATCATCTTATTAAAATTTAAAAGGATTTGGTGCTTGGAGCCGCATATGTGAGAGAACATATGTCATTTGTTTTTCTGAGTCTGTTACTTCACTTAGTATAACGCCTTCTAGATCCATCCATTTACCTGCAAATTTAATTATTTTATCTTTACTGTTGACTAGAACGCTATTGTGTAAATATACCACATTTTGGTTAACCACTCATCAATCAAGGTTCACTGAAAGTTTTTTTCAACATTGACTAGTCTTTTCTTTGGACTCCTAAAATATTTCCCACTTTTCAGATTCTTAATGAAAGCTCTTTTGGTCTTCCTAAAATAATGTTTTTATATTTTTATTTTATCAAATGTGCATGCACTTTAATTTATACATGCCTAGAAGAGCCTTGCAAATATTAGCAATAAATACCATGCTGTGCATTTTATTATCAGCAATCTTATAAGACATTTATTTTTTTTTGCTCCATAGGAAACAAATAATGTCAGCAGCTATCCACTCTATCATAGTGTCTATGAAACATATGAGTTGGTGGAAAAATTTTATGATCCAACATTTAAATATCACCTCACTGTGGCCCAGGTTAGAGGAGGGATGCTATTTGAACTGGCCAATTCGGAAGTGCTCCCATTTGACTGTCAAGATTATGCTGTAGCCTTAAAAATGTATGCTGAGAAAATCTACAATATTTCAAAGAAACATCCACAAGAGATGAAAAAGTACATGGTATCATTTGGTATGTTCCAGCTTATCTATTACACCTGATCAGGTTTTTTTGTCTTCTTAAAATATATATTT